ACCACTCCCTTCCAAGGGACGGGCGTGCCTTTGGTTCGGAAAAAATCATATACGCCTAAGGGCCCTTTTGATTGAGATTTGGAGTCCCAAAGGCTAAGTGTGGCCTCGGCGAATTGCGTGCTACCCAACTTTTCTACCATTAGGTTCCGGATATCATATAGGTTCTTGAATTATTGAGATTTTTTTGAATTCTAACAAATTAACATAAATTACATTTATGAAATTGAACCACCAATCTCACTTTTAGACTTAAAATTTTGATGAAATTCAGTAGACTAAATTAACGAGTGGTTGTCTACTTATACTTTTTATTTTTATTATTTTACAAAAAAAAAAAAAAAATGTATCTTGAGTGCTTCGTTTTGTATTTAAATTGACTATTAAATATGACACATTGAGTATCATAATTTTTTGTATAATTCATCTAATTGTTAGGTGAGTCGACTCTTTATGACGCTCAAGGTCTCGTTCACTAAATTGTAAGCATCAAATATAAGATTATCCATCACAACAGGACATGAACATGGGCCGAACCAATTCGTAATTGGTTCGAACCGGTCTGTTGACCACGAGCGTTGAACCGACTAGGAATTAGTCTGTTGACCACAAGCCTTGAACCAACCAACGGTTTTACCCGAGCCGTTTTGATTCAAGCATTTACAATTTTCGAATTGAATCCGACAATTCGACTTTGAAGTTTTTTACTTTATTTTTTATTTTTATTTTTAATAAACAAGAGCGACCAGAACCGACGGTTTACTTAACCGACCCCATGGTAGGGTTGGTTCAGGACCTTCCAAACCCCAACTCAAAGATCAGTGTTTGACTACGTCTAATCACAATATAAAGTTCGCTGATAGAAGTTGAATTCAACTGTCGCATTAGAGGCACGATTGAATCCAAAGAGGTCGACCTTGTTGGAAAAGACGCTTGGGTAACTCGACCCTACCTACGCACCTCGACCCTGGGTGCCGCACAACACAATGAATCTCGTGTATTTTAGTTGTGTCAATACAACACCATAACCTACAAAAACCGTAAGTTGGACATGTCTATTGAAAATAAATAAAAATTATTGCCATAAATTACAAATTATGCTATGGAGGTGTTAATGATCAAACAATCCAACATGTCATGTTGTTTTTAATATGTTGGGAAAAATACGCTGAAATTTCCATGAAGTCGGATCTATAAAAGTGAAATAAAAAAGAAAAAATTGGACACAAACCAAATTGATAACGGAGTTCGGCCAATAATGCCTACGTCTCCGGACTACTGCAGATATTTTATTGGGAAAAAGAAATACACTCGTGTTTACAAAACACTCTCGAAACCACTCACAACTCACAACTCAAAAATACACACAAAGGCTAATTATTTTTAGCTCTCTCTCTCTTTCTTTTCTCTTGAAATGTTGCTGTATTTTTGTTGTGGTTTGCTTCAAAATTGTGCTCCTATTTATAGCTGAAAAATGTGCAAAGTTGCTGCAGAATTTGTGCAACTTTCGGCTGCAATTTATTGCTCAGCCTCCTTCAACATTAATTTCAGCCACCATCATTAATTAAAGCCACCATAGCCACCTTATTAATGGCCTCATGCAGCCAAAATTAAATGTGGTCCCAAATTGTCTCTTATCAATCTCCCACTTGAGGACTGATTTCAATCTGTCCTCACACCTCAATTACTGCAGTAGTCTACTCCGGTTTGTTACTCTAGCAAGCCAACTGAAGTTGAGCACAACTTCAGTTTGTCAATAGTCACCACCTTCGTTAGCATATCTGCTGGATTCTTGCTTCCTAAAATCTTCTTCAAAACCAGCACTTCATCCTCAAGAAGAGATCTGATGAAATGATATCGTATGTCAATGTGCTTAGTTCTGGAGTGAAATACTGAGTTCTTTGCCAGATGTATCGCACTCTGACTGTCACTGTGCAAGACACTCTCCTTTTGAGTGAA